AAGTGATTGACAGTATCAGCATAACAGATTAGTTTACATTTGACCCTCACCCTTCCAGACCAAAAAGTATGAAATAATAAATCCAAAGCAAACTACACAAAAAGGTTTCTTTTCATAAATCATTTTTATTTGTTTCAAATGTTACGATACCAGATCTTTCAATACAGGTCTCAAAATCCCCTTAAAAAGAAACTAAACCAAACCATTAACACCTCAAGCATTGAAAGATGCCATAGATCCTTACTTCTCGGTTGTATCCGTTAAACCAGATACTGCATAGTGCGCAAATTCAGGAAAGGAAATCCCTGGTGGAAAAAGATCTTCACGATCATAAGCTAGTGATACTTCAAAATCTTTGTCATGATTAACAGACTTGAACATCTGTAAATGGGAAAATAGGCATTACCATTAGTAAACTACTGAAAAGATAAGTAATCTTTTTAATCCCCACCTCTATGTGGGTTCAAACAACACATTATTTTACCTTACTGGGAAGTTTTTTCATCCTTGGAACAAGCAAAAGCCTGCTTACTTCATCTTTTGGAAGATCAGTCCCATCCATTTCAGCGACAAAACTGTAGGAAGAACCATCAACCATCCCCAGCTTACGGTTTAACTTAATTCCATCACTTAAATTTGCAGCATGTAGAGCAGAACCAAGAACAATGGCTTCATCTGCATCCAGATGTTTGTCCAAATCTTCCTACCAAAATATTCCTGGAGTTTGGCCTGTTAAGGAAAATGGAAACAAGAACAAATAGGTTTCATACCACAGTTTCATGTGTACAGAAATGTGAACCTTTATAAATAATAATAAGTGCAAGTTAGTAATTTTTACATTATACAAGGAAACCTTCTTTCTATGCCTTTTTTATGTGATTTGCTTCTATATGCAAGAAGGAGAAAATGTAGAACAAACCTGCAACTTTGGAACTCTAGTAGCACCTCCAATCAACTCCAAGGCATATATATCATCAGCTTGCAGACCTGAATGCTTAAGCACTTCTTTCACAGGTACAAGGGATCTATCCCAAAGGTCTGCACAGAGCTCTTCAAACTTCTCACGAGTTATGGTGCTCCTAAAGTGAAGTCAAAAAAGAAAGAACAAAAGGCAATTTCAGACAAGCATGTGTATAGCACCCGAAAATTACCACAGATTCCAGATAATGTTCCAGCTTATTTTAGGTGATTGATGAAATCATTGCATGACGCCTAGGCACCCATTCTAGCTTTTGTTCTCTATTTCATTTAACATTCAAATTACAAAGTTGACATAACAATAGACACCTAACTGTCCACTATTATTTGAAAGGAAAAAGAAAAACAAATTATAACTTCTAAGGACAGGATTAGAATGAAAGGGTAAAGAAGAATTAATAGTTTTTTTAGTTATCATTTTTGTAAACTCCATATAAACTATGATATTTCCTAAGGGAATGATCTAAGGTCTTAAGGGGAATGTTGAAGACAGCAATGCCTATTTTAAACTGTCTTATATGATATCCTGGCATTAATAAGACAGAGATATGAAGAAGAGAATACTGAGAGCAAGAAGAAGCAAGTGTTGATCCTTGAAGAATTCATGAGCCTTTGCAGAATAAAGTTTCGCCGGTGCATACGAAGTACCTCAAGGTTCTTTTTTTCATGGACAAGAATAAAGTTTCGCCGGTGCATACGAAGTACCTCAAGGTTCTTTTTTTCATGGACAAGAAGCATGTACCGAGAATTAGATAAGGTGATTGAGAGGCTACATACCTGAAGTCCTGATCATCATAGAGGGATTCAACAGATATCGGAGCAGCTGTGTTTGCACTTAAAATTTCTTTTGTACGCTTAACCTGTTTCTTCAGCTTAGCCATTGCCTTGGGATGCTTCCTCACATCAACCCCATTTCCAACTTGTTTATTGAACTCATCTGCAAAGTACTCCACCAGTCGTAATTCCATGTTTAGTCCTCCTAGTTCTGAGTCCCATCTAACATCCTTCACCTGAAAAAAATATGTTAAGTGTTAATGAAGATGGAAACAATAGCCAGTTTTGCTATAATGAAATATTAAACTGTAACAAGGTCTGATGCAGTCATAGAAAATCCTTATAATGCCTAAACACAGAACAGACTACAAGATCCATTAGAAAAATAGAAGCTTAATGGCAACCTAAGTTTCTAGGATCTAGGAATTTCTAACTTTAGAATTATTATTTGAATAAACAAATCAGTGATCAATCTAATTCACTAATTTAATTACAGATCACTAGTTATCCTCTATTGATTGACAGATTTTTTGGAAAAAAAATACACTACTGATCCATCTAATTCATTGATTTAATTACATATCACCAATTATCCTCTATTAATTAACAGAATAAAGAATGAATGATCAGTCTAATTCACTGATTTACTGACTGATTATCAGCAATCACATTTCAATTTCTAACAAATGCATTCATGAGCTGACAAACCAATAACTCATTAACGTATCATCAACATTAACAACAATAGATTTCAAATTGGATGCTTGACAGGTTAAAGAAAATAGAAAAATTAAATTTCAAAAACTTTTTAAATTCGTAAAGCTTTTTGCTTTGATTTTACCTGAAACTGGTTGACAGAAGCAGTTTTCCCATACTCCTTCGCATTATAAGCAGAAAAATAAACAAGAGCAGCATAAGTACTACTGGAACCCATATCATAGAAAATCACATGTCTTGACTCATTCGAGAAGTCTTTATCGATCCCATACTGTAATGCCGCCCCCGAATGCTCGTTTATCAGCGAAATGACGTTTATTCCAGCCAATTCCGCCGCCCTCAAAACCCCTTTCCTCTCCGCTTGTCCAAAATACGGCGGCACCGAGATTACCGCATCTTTAACATTCACTTTAGAATGAAACTCCGCCAAATTCGACGCGTACTTCAAAATCATCCCCATCAACTCCTCAACGGTATAACTAACATCGCTCGAAACTAGAATCTCGGCGGCACCTCTAGAATCTTCTATCACATCAAACGGGATATACATTGAATCGGTGAATCGCTTAACGTCTTGATAGGGCTTCCCGATCATGTCACGAAGATTGGAGAACACCTTGTCGGGATAACGAGCGACAATCCCGGCGGCTTCTTCACCGAGCAAGCGAGCTTCCGATTGGAATGCGACTAAGGCCGGGGATTTCCGCTTCGACATCTCATTGACGGCTATGGATATCGGACTTTGGCCAGGTTTTAGATTCACGACGGCGACTTTTAGCCATTCTGAACCTAGATCTATGCTTGAAACAGCTGATTCCGACTTAATTAGGAATAACGATAGCAGGGATAAGCATATCCCTAATCGGAATAACATATTCTTGCTCGAAATAATTGCTTTTGAGAGAAGACTGAAGAGACGAGCCGAAGGTTCTTGACGCAGTGAGTCAGGACTCGGTGGGTTTAGCGCTGTTGGGTTAATTGGTTATATTTATTCAGTGAGCTGACGAGGGAGGGGGTTTGACGTGGAGAGTATATAAAGCATCCTATCAGAAGTGGACACATGGAATAATAGACACGTGGTGCGTTTTGAGATGATCAGATGCGTTGTGCTTTGAAGTTCGTTACCCGGTCGTTTGCGAATTCTTTGGGCAGAGAATTTACCTTTTAATTTCACATTTTTTTTATAAAAATATATAAAATAAACGTTTTCCTTTTAATTTTTAGTAAAAGAGAAAAATGAAAATATAAATTAATAATTAGTTAAATTTTATGAAATTCATAAAATAAAATTAGCATAAAATATGCGTTTAGTATCTAAACTATCAGTTTTAATACATTTTAGTACTTAAACTTTTATTTAAAAAAAACATACTTAACGTTTGACTTTTGTTTTATTTTAGTACATGTCGTTAAAAACTTAATAGATAGGTCGATGTGACATAGTTTTAGGGGACAAACGACCAATCCAAACGGTGGACCACGAGAGAATGACGAGTCGACCAACATAATTCAGTTTCAGGCCCATTGAACCATGGACCATGGACCATGGAGATTGGATGATGAAAAAAATCGAAGAGCCCATAATCAATTTTGGGAGATTGAGGCGTTTCTCGGTTTTAACGGAAGTCGAAATTGCATTTAGGGGTCGAAAAAGTGTGAGCTAAAAAGTTTGGACTTCATCGATCGATGGATGAGATGATCGGCGACTGTAGATGCAACGAATGGCTAGCCCGTCCGTTAAGCTTTTAAAGACGGGATATTAAAATAAAATAAAAACTAAACATTAGTTATGATTTAAAAAAAATAAAAGTTTAGATATTAAAATAGATAAAAATTAATAATTTAAATACTAAACATGTAATTTATCCAAAACATTTAGAAAGACATATTTTAAAAACACGACACAAATAAAATATAAGGAGAAATAACTTCCTTTTTTTATCAACATAATATTATTTTAAAAGTTATTTATTATTTATTGTACGAATTAAGTGATCGCTTAGAGTATGATTTTTATTTTTAGAGGTCTCATATTTGACCACAACGAATATAAGAGTATCTAAGCGTTCATTATTAAATATTTGACTCTTTCAAACAAATTATATCTTGTAACACTCCAGACTAATTATAAAAAGTTACTGAATTAATATTTAAAGACTACTAACAATTTTATTCGAATTAAACGAACCCAATGACTAAAAGAATGGTTAATTTTTATAATTATATAATGTGTAAAAGTTAATGACTAAATTTCTTAAATTATTTATTGAATTTTATATAAAAAATCAAATTAATATGATGCGTAAAAGTTAAGGACTGAATTTATTATTATACTAATAAATATATATAATTAATAAATAAAAAAATACAAATATAATTAATTACTTTTAAAGGTTTACTTTTAAAGTTCATGGAATTAAATTGTTCAATTTTTTTCAAAAAGGACTACTTTGCATATTTCAAATATTAAGAGGTCCTCAAAGAGATCCTCTTACCCAAGATAATTAATTTCTATATCTCTCCCTCAACACGTCAGTGACCCAGCGCGTAATACATAATTAATTTCTTATTTATTATTTCAGGTTTAAAAATATCGACTTTTGGTATTGATTTGATTCCAAAACAATAATGTCCGCATCTACCGTCTCGATCACCGCCAACCCAGCGTCGGCGACTCCTCGCCGGCGTTCCCTCGTCACCGAGAAGATATCGAACGTCGAAGCAGTGGTCGTTGATCCGAACGCTAATGGAATTAACCGTATGGAAGACAAAACCGCTGCCGGTGCCGCCGCTGCCACTGCCGGTCTCAGTAGAGATCTGAGCCACCATTCGGGTCGTACCGAGCCGTCAAAGGACTCAATGCAAGCGAGAAAGGTCACCGTGGGTCAAAACTCTAACGGCCTGCCCCGGCGGTCGCGGAAAGTAGCGGTTAACAAGACTGAGAAACCGCGGTGGTTGACCGCGGTTAGTATTTTTGGTAAGAACTTAGCGTTTTTGCTTGTTTTGGTTGGCTTAGCGCAGATTATTAGGAGATTGACATTGAAATCAGAGGATGTTAGTGTCGTTGGGACAGAAATGGGATTGACAGAATTCGAGGGTAGGGTTGCTGAGGTTGAGAGTTTCTTGAAAACAACGGCTAATATGATTCAAGTTCAGGTAGATGTTTTTGATAAGAAAATCGAAAACGAAATTGGTGGTTTAAAGAGGGAAATGAATGAGAGAATTGAGGGCCAAACTGCGTTATTGGAGAAATTGAAAAAATTGGAGGAAAAGAGTGAGGAATTAGGTAAATCCTTGAGTGAATTGAAGAGTGCGGATTTGTTGACAAAGGAAGAGTTTGAAAAGATGTATGAACAAATGTTAAAGGAGAAGGGTGAAAATGGTAAGTCTGAGAATCCAGTGAGTTTAAGTGATCTAGGAGCCTACGCTAGAGAAATTGTTAAGAACGAGATTGAGAAGCATGCCTCGGATGGGCTCGGCAGGGTTGATTATGCTTTGTCTTCAGGTGGGGGAAAGGTTGTTCGGCATTCAGAGCCATTTCTTGGTGGGAAGGGAATCAACTGGTTTTTGAAAAGTAGTCAAAATGGGGTTCACAGGGATGCAGACAAGATATTGAAGCCAAGTTTTGGAGAGCCTGGGCAGTGCTTTCCATTGAAAGGAAGCAGTGGGTTTGTTCAGATTAAGCTCCGCACGGCTATTATCCCAGAGGCTGTTACTTTGGAGCATGTTGCCAAGGTAATATTGTTATTATGCATACTTTGTTATAAAGTTGTTTATTGTTTCACTTTTGTGCTTGTCTTTGTTCTTGATTTGTTTTATGATGATAAATGTAAATGTAATTCAGATTCTTTTGCTACTGGTTCTGAAGCTTTAACATAAGATCCATAAGATGTGAATATTTAAACGTGATCTCTTGTAGCTGTCCTTTTTGCCAAAATAATTTACACCCGATATGAACTATCATAGCTTTGATTCAAGTTTCAACACTTGATCTCGCAAAGGCATTCTGCTTCTCATTCTTTTAGGAAACGTATTTCCGCTACTAACTACTATCTAATTACTTTGCTAGACTTCTTATGGTTAGATCTTCCTCAATTTCATGTAGGCAATAATTCTTTAAAAGTTGAATATATATATATATATATATATATGGATCTTTTAGATATTAAAGTACAAAACATATGCAAAAATTGTCCTAGGGTCTCGTTTTTAGCAAGTAATGGCTCAGTTATGTTCTAACTCCATCCTACCTCCAAAACTAAATAGGTAAATAATTATGTATTATATTTGACAACTATACGTGAACAACGAGGTTTTAGTGGTGTTTCCTTTACTTCAATGCTTTTTTGATAAGATCTGAAGGCCTCATTAAAAACCACCTTCTTGTTAATGGAGTTAATGTGTAAACTCCTTAATCAACTGAAGATGGAAAAGAGTGCCTTATAACTTTATTGAATAAAGTAGGAATTACAGCCTATAGGAAGAAAACCCTAACCCTTACAAATAATCACTCGAAAACAAAATACATAAAATTCAGCCTATACCAGCTTTTGCTAAGGCATCAGCCTCCATGTTAGCTGTTCTTGTAACCCATCTAACAAATCCCCCACAAAACCTAAGTTTAACGACTATATCTTTAACAATATAAGCATACACAGCTGGACAAGAACCAGATTTAATAATCCAGTCCACAGCTACCCTGCTGTCACTCTCAACAATCAAACGGAATTTTCCCCTCCCTTGGATAGATGAGACGAAAACAAGTCCCCTTTGAATAACTTTGAGTTCCTTCAAAGTTGGAGGACCCGGACCTTCTGACTCCTGAAAAGATCCTAATATTGCACCAAGATGATCCCTTAAAATGCCTCCCAACCCACTTTTCTTCCAATCACTAATAGTGGCAGCATCCACATTCAGTTTAATGAAGCCTATAGGAGGAGGACACCAGGGAACATTAGAAGACTTTAGGAACTTGTAGGACGAATGGGAATCCCCTATTGAAGGGTCCGAAATCAACGAGTCTTTAGGAATAGAGATATCCTTATACTTAGCTAGGAACCAAGATGCCAACCTGACTCTTGCTAAAAAGAATAGTTCAATCTGATCCAACTTCCCCCCTTCAAAAACAATTAAATTTCTGGTTTTCCAAACGGTCCAAATAACAACCCCAGGAATGAATGACCATATAGCAGAATCTGGCTTCAACTCTTCCCAGCCTAATAAAAAAGTTTTAGCATCTTCATGAAGAACAGAACTAACACTCCACAATTGTAAGAACTTATTCCATAATGCCCACACAACCGAACAGGAAAAGAATAAATGCGAGGAAGACTCATCAACCTTTTTACAAAGAGGGCATAAAACATCGTCAATTCCTTGAACTCCTCTTCTTGCCAATTCAGTCTTAACAGCAAGCTTTTTCTGCACAATTTTCCACAATAAAGTCTCAACTCGAGGTGGTAGTAATCCTGTCCAAACAACCTTCATCCAGAATTGAACCTCTTCGGAACCAAAAACACATTTCTTAACACAAGAACTGACTGTAAACATACCATCCCCACTGCCTTTCCAAATTAAGCCATCACTGGATTCTGTAGACAGAGAAACAAGAGAAATAGTGCTCATCAAGTTACACCATTGTTCCAACTCCCAATCATTTAAATTTCTCCTCACTTGAACATCCCAAATCCAGCCCGATGGATGAAAATCTCCAAACTCACATAGCTTTCCTGATTTATTAATAGCTATCAAAAACAATCTTGGAAAAATAACCTGTAGCGGATAATCTGTTACCCAAGCATCCTGCCAAAATCGAATGTGCTTACCATTGCCAACTTGAAAGCTACATAAGGATCGAAAATTAGTACCAAATGAATCTTGCTTGAAATAGTTATTAACCACTGCTCTCCACTGCCAAGAACTACCAGCTGGAAGATTACTGTCAAACAATAATCTAGAGGAATCGAGACTGTATTTAGAACAAATAAATCTCCTCCAAACCGAATTTCTCTCGTTTGCAAATCTCCAGGACCATTTCCCTAACAAAGCTCTGTTCATGAAATTCAGATTACATACTCCCAACCCTCCCTCATTCTTAGGTTTACAGACTTCAGCCCATTTAACCCAGTGAATTTTCTTTTTACCATTCCCACCTCCCCATAGAAAATTAGACATAATAGAATTGAGAGTCTTAAGGATTGAAGCTGGAATCTTAAACATTGACAAAAAATAAGTGGGCAGTGAGCATAAAACAGATTTAATCAAAACCATTCTTCCAGCTAGAGATAAAGTCACTGCCTTCCAACCTGCCAATTTTGAGTGAAAATTCTGCACCACCGGTTCCCAAATAATTGAGGAATCCTTTACTTCAATGCTGGTTTCATGAAAAGTGAAATTGGTTTAATAATACAATTGCTGAGGCTTGTTTAAACAGTATGTGCTGATGATGATATTTTTATATATTTGCAATTACTTTTAGCAGAGGCGTACTTTTGGAAGTATTGAGTGAAGAGATTTTTTTTTGGTATTGCTTGATTTGCACTGGCTAAAGAGTGCAATAACAATTCCTTAAAAAATAACAAAACACGCAGCTAGAAGTACTTTGTGAAAATAAGAGCAGAAGAATACTAGGATTTGTGTTTTGGCTTTAAGCCTAATGTGATAGAGGTAATAAAAAAAAATCCTATGATGATTAAAGCAAGATGGAGAGAAGAATAGTTTTGTACCCAAAATTCTTTGTCCAATCAACCTGGTGCTCTAACAAATTATAACAGTGACTTAACCTCCATTTGTTCGTTGTGGTTAAAGCAGCAGTAGAAATGTTTGCTCTTATTCCTCATTTTACATGAAGTACCCTTGTCCTACACCAATATCCAACGCATATAGACACGGGTGTGCAGTTATTACTGTCCCAAAACCCTTTAAATATGTGGAAAAACTTGTAAAAATTTGAGTGCCCATGTTGGAAACATCCTCCTTAACCCAACACTCACACCCGGGTTTGGGTAACATAGTCTTTCTCATGTAAATCACTTATGGAGAATTTTTGGTTTTGTTTGAGATCATGTGCATGGAAATAATTACGGGGGTAGGCATTAGGGGAATGACCATATGAATTTCCTTTCTCTGTTCATCTGTGATATAAATGCACCAATTCTTAGTTCTAATTTCTTATACTCATTCTCTTTAGTGCCTTTTATCTTGCCTCATTCTAGTGGCGCACCAGAAGAAACACTTTATGCCATCAATTATTTCTCTTGTATTTGAATGGACAAATTTTGTATAATTTTCATTTGTATGATTGCAACAAAAATAAATCGAGGGCTGATTTAAGAGAGAGCTCTTTCTGATTTTTATTCTCAATGCTTATTCTGTTCCTGTACTGTGTACAGAGTGTGGCATACGACAGATCAAGTGCACCCAAGGATTGCCGAGTCTATGGCTGGCAGCTGCAAGGCGGTGATCCTGGTTTTGCAGTTGATTCCAAAAAGATGTTCCTTTTGGCAGAATTCACGTATGACCTTGAAAAGAGCAATGCTCAGACCTTTGATGTATTGGATACAGCAGGAATCGGTATTGTTGACACAGTCAGGCTGGACTTTTCTTCCAACCATGGAAGTGCTTCACATACCTGCATTTATCGTTTGAGGGTGCACGGTCATGAGCCCGATTCCGTTTCAATGGTGAAAACAGAGTCGTGATCCGTATCATATTTGTGATGCTCACTCTTCTTGGTAATCGCTGATTCTGTCTACTAACCTGTAAGAATTTCTTGTGCGTAGCAAATGAGTGTGAATCTATTTTTGTGTTTCCACTTTTCGGTTAGGTCCTACATGACTTGGAACAATGATTCGATTTGTCCGAACCAGAAATAGATGAACTTTAGTTTCCCTGTAGGCAAAGTTTTATAGAATTTTGTTTCATAGGCGATAGTCGGAAAACTCGGAATGGTATGTTGTAGACTTAACAGTGTGCATTCATGTCTTTTTTCCATATGTCATTATCCTGTTTAAGGTTATTTATTTACAAAATTTGACACATTCGTTTGTTTGTATCATATTTCTTTCATTTATAGCGTTGTACCTTGTTTAGTCTACTACTTTCCTCTAAAACAAGCAAGGGTAATGATTTTAAAAAATTATAAAGTGATCATTAAAATATTGAAATATTACAAAACGATCTCTGTGTTGTTACAACAAATACAAAATTATGATAAATTTAATGATTATTTATAATAATTTAATAGAATTTAATGATTATTTTATAATAATTTAATTATAATTCTATAAATTTAATGATCATTTTGTCATATTTACTTAAAAATTTAGTGATTGGAATGTTCATTTGAGCATAATTTAATGAAACTCGATTGAATTTTACTTTTAAAGCTCAAGCTTGATGATATAGTTTTTAATATAAAATTTAGGTTTAATATAAATTCTTATTTGGATTAGAGCCCAAACCGGTCAGATTTTAGGTCCTCTGTTTAATTGAATGGATCCGTTAACTTAAAATAATCTTTTTGGACTATAATGATGGCTAATATCATTAATAAGAAAACTAAAATAGCCTGGGTTCATCACCAATCATAGTCATTGATAATGGATAAACTTTTCATGCATGAGAAATCAACCCTTATTAAATAAAGAATAAACTATATATTTGATCACTCATTTTAACTTTTCTTAAAAATCATAATTAATGTTAGTTTTGTATTCAGTTTTTCATCAACAATAACACCCCAAACAACACCAGAATTCAACCCTAATTATAACATTACTTACAACTCGAATTATCTATCGAAATAAAACTGAAATAACAAACGAACATCAACTGTATACAAGGACTATCCACCCACTCTCTTCACCAGCAACTCCTAAATATAAGACTGAGTTAGAATGGAAGGTTACCTTGTCATTGCCTGTAACCCTATAAGTTTGTAGCTTTGCAAACTTCCTTCGGGGAATGAGAATGTTGTTTGTTTCGTTGGTAAGGATTTATTTTCGCCGTTGTCCGTCAAAGTCTCGAGACCACATGCATGACAAAGGGATTCCACATCTGATTCCTATAAAAGGCAATACCGAATACACATCAGAAGAATCCATGTTGCTCCTACTTTTACTTCGAACTATTTGTATCCGACGTATTTTTGGACATGCGTAGTAAGATATAACCCTTCTAGATACATGAAAAGACTTCAGAAAGCCCGAACATATCCATATAAAAACATACTCGTATTTGACAATCATATCCGAGCTCAAGTAACAGCCTAAAATCGTGTGTATGTAAGAAAATGATACCTTCATCATCAATAGTTTGGACAATTGTTCCAAAGGATATGGATGAACCTTGTAGCAACAATTATTTATATATGAAATCGCCAGTGCTCGAACCTGCAAAGTTTTTGAAGAGCAAATGAAAAAAATAAAGATGTACGACAAATACGAGGGACTCATCTATGTTACTTGGATATACCTGTGAATATTAATAAGATTCGAGTGTGTATCGATTATCGACACAGGTATTTTTGAGTTCTTCAATATATTTGGAGCACTTGAAAAGTCTATCTCCGTTCTCAAACCAGATAAACATTGAGCATGGGTATCATATACAAATATTTCAAGAAAAATGAAAGAGTCGATGAAACATAGGAATGCAATTAACATTAATTTGAAGTTTCTGTGAAATTAAAATTTATATAGGATATTAGAAACTTCAAAGGATATTAAGTTTAAAGTATAATACGTCGCTCTGACTTTTTCTTTTTTGTAGTATTTGTATCTAATATTCGTGACTGATACACATCCCAGACATTGGTAAGGGATATAAGCTGTCCACTAAATGATAAATATTAGAAAAAGAAAAAAGTTGATTAAACCCATGTTCGAGACTCACACCCGAATTCGAATAACATAAGTTCTAACATTATGTCCATAAAGTAACGTACCACTACACTGAACACTATGGTTGAAAACTATGTGCAATAAAAAAAAATAAAGCCAAGGATAAAAGGATCATTCAACTAATGATTACCTCATTAACATATGGCTCGATAATACAATACTGTAGATATGATGCCTCAGATGAAACAGTACAGAGAAAACGTTTATAGTTTCCCATTCGATAATGTCTGTAGACAAATAATGAAACATCTTATATTTCCCTTCCAATTTTAGATTAATTTCGGAGAAAATATTTAAGAGATTGCAGTGATAGGCATCAATAGAACTTCAGAGTTACCTTAGAACTTGACGGGCAAAACACATTTCTTTAGACTTCATTATGGGAGAGGGTACACCACGAAACCATAATGACAACGACGACTCCTGCAAATCAGAATCACTAGTTCAGGATCAACAAGGTTGAAATTAAAGTACATAGACATGAAAACAATGAAATATACCGTTTGTTGATTCTTCGAATCTAGGTGAAGAAGCAGGTAAAATGAACGAAACTGGGCTTCATTCTCGTTAACAGAGTTGTTCTCATGATTAGCTTCATACATAATATACAGAGATGTCAAAGTCTTTGTAAGCTGCTCCATGTTTAGATATTGCAGAGAAGCAATACTTGAACCGCTACAATTCCTAAGCTTTTGGTGAGACACTACATGAAATTTTACCTGTAAGATGAAATATATAAAATCTCAATGGCGTATCAAGCTTCTACTCTTTCCATGGCAAGACTATGTAGCTATAAGATTCCCAAATATGTATCAGGTCCAGGTGTTGGATATGAGTACTTCAAGCCAAATGAAGAATCAGAGCAACATAGGCAACCAGAAAACTACATGATAAACGAGTTAAAAACACGGAATTTCTGACAACTCTTTTCAATAAGACAAAGGATGTAAGCTTTTTTAAGGTCAGAAAGAAAGCAAGTGATAAGAATGAGCATCATCATTAGGAATAATGTTGCATTAGAATTTAGAGAAGATAAAATCAAGCAGGACAGCTCTATGTTGCTTTGACTCTTCATTTTTCTTAAAGTATCTATAACTGATACATATCTAGACGTGGATATGAGAATATGATCTTCCAAGGACTCTCAAATATATGAAAAATCTTGGAAAAAATTGAACATACTCATGTTTGACACTCACAACCAGGTCCAAGTAACATTGTTGCTTCGACTATTCATTATTCTTTAAGTATCTATGTCCAACACTAGTGTTTGATATCCGAACAAAGGTATGGGGATATGGTCCTCCAAGAACCTTCCAAATACATGGAAATATAGGGAAAATTAAATATACCCATGTCAGATGCATATCCATTTCCAATATTTTCATTTGAATCTGAGTAACACAGGATCATAATATCGCAACTGTAATTTGTAAAGGTTTAAACAAAAGGCAAATATTTCTGAGTAAGAAAATTGTACCATTTTCTCGTACATGCGAATTGCTCTTTCATTGACAATATTCTGCATGCTAAGATCCTGCCTTATCGATCGAGTCCTATCGAAGATGAAGTCATGAATCACTTCGAAAGGATGATCACTTGAATCAAGTAAGTTTAGAAGATAGTTTAATGTATCTTCCAATACTGCGAGAGGGCGCACACCTGACGATTGGACGTACTTCTGTGATATAGTTCTGCAAAACTAGCAGAAATAAGGGATTATTAGAAGCCTTAAACATTTGATAAAAAACATTTATACAATAGATAGTGCCATACTGATGCAATGGGACTAAGCATAAAATGTAACTTTCATATTTATTTTTCATCTTTTTCCACATGATTGTGATTAATTGCAATAAAAGAGTGGTAGCACAGCTTGTCGTTCCGACTTCATTTTTCTTGAAGCATTCGTGTTTGACCCTTACATCCTTCACATATCCGGAAATTGGTACTGGGATCCAACACTCAAACTGAGTTTAAGTAACATAGAAGCATGGTGCACAATACTCCTGCATTCTCAGGGTCTGGGGACTTAACTGTGATGTTCAAATCCTTGGTTAAGTCAAAGGATCCTTGGAGAGTCATAACCCCACAACCGGATATGCATCGGACACAAATACCGAGAAATTAAAGAGTCGAAGCAACATTGATACGAACAAAAATTTTGCTATCACGGTAGATAATATGCATGATTCCTTATTTAGGGTTGCATTTATTGCAGATCCATAAAAGGAACAACATAAAATTTGATTACATTTAGCAGTACAAATTTATATTAAATCCGGATCTAAATGAGATATGCGAAACCTAATATTTGTAATTTTGTATCCAAAAGTTGATATCTATATCCGCTTCAAATTCGCTATGGACAATAATTATGATATCCAAGTCCAAAATACCGAATCTGAAAAAAGATTGGATATTTGCCTTTATCTGAATCCACATTATATGTGCAGTCCCTAATATCATTTACAACAGTTTATTTAACATGATAAATTTCAATCAAGCTCAAAGGCAATTAGGTAAATGCCCCAATACTCATTATGAAACCTTAATGAACTGCATATTAAAAGGCACCAGAACAAATAAAACAAAACAAAAATCAAAATTAAATGCTTGAAAGTAAAAAAGCTTACCTTTTTCACAGCTAAAGCTGGAGATGTTTTCCAAGGATCTCCATTTAGCCTCTCGAAAACAGCTAAATCTCGTAGGCGTTCCCTCTGTGCTCTCTCTCCTTCTGTTGTAACAATGGTGAAAGGGTAACAAACAACATATTTTGATAGCTAGCAATAAAGTATAACTTGATTGTTACTTAGTTTCATAATTATATCTTCAAACTACAGTTGCAAATAAAGCTTGGTATTTTATTCGATCATTTACTTTCAAATCCAAATCCAAATGCAAATTCTACCATTTACTTCAGCTTCCAGAAACAAAAAATACGCAGTCAAAGTAACAATCAAACAAAATCATGAAAAATCATAAACCAAAAATTAAAAATATGGAAACCCAAAATTCAGAACATTAAAACAGAGAGAAAATTACTTGCTTTTAGCTTATAATCACAAATTTTGGAATAATTAAATGAATAAATTACCAGGGCACATGAAAGGGCAAGTTCCAATTATAGAACCAACATCTCCTCTTGCTTCTGTTTCTTCCTCTTGTTTATTATTCGAGGGATTTGCTTCAGATTTCCAATTAGGGATATGGCCGGGATTTCTGGTATTGTCATGGGTAGTTCCAGTGGTTGTATTGGAGCATGGAATGAAATTTGAGGATTGGGTGGTTCTGGTTGGATTTGTAGAGAATTTTTGAGACCGGAAACGTGTAGGGGCGGTGGAGGAAGTGGAAGAGGAGGGCTGGTTTCGCCGGGGTTGACGGCGGCGGTTGCTGTCGTCCATGGTGTCTAGTGGCCACTAGGAAAGATCGATTGGGTTTTGGGCTCTCTCCTTGGACGGCGGTGCACGCAGTGGTTCAATTCAAATCATTAGATTTTAGATTGTTTAATTTATATTCAGATTACCCAGTCACCATGGGCACAGAGTTGACGGATTAATTTTTCGGCCCACTCGATCCGATTTAATCCGATATTTAATAATATTTTATACATTTTAAATTCATTTTAAGTTTGAGTAAACTATAAACATGGTATCCTATATTTATTGTATGAATGATTTAAAAAATATGATTTTAATCCCTTATATTATCGGGATAACGGAAGTATTACGTGTCAATTAAAAATATATGAATTTATTACATGTGTTTACGTGTCAATTAAAAATATAAAAAATATATATACTTACTACGTGTCAATTAAAAAATATAAAAAAAAATATGTACTTCTTTTTCTTCTTCTTTACATATATACACAAGGATTTCAGGGACAACATTTACACGACCAAACAGTTTGGCCTGGTATCCTTGGAAACTCTGACTTAGGGAGGCACACCCAGGTTGGTCAAGTAGGTTCTGGGGAAGATCCGGATGCACATTGGACCAAAACACAAGTAAACTCACCTGCCAAACTGCTGACTGTGGCTCAAGCCAAGTCGAATGCAGTGGCAGTGGTGCAACTCCCCCGACCACCTTAGTAGAATTCACGATCGGGTCATGCACCAAGGATTTCTACGATGTTAGCTTAGTTCATGGTTACAACTTGCCAGTGATCGTGGGGCAAGCGGCGGGTCAGGCACGTGCTTCAACATGGTGCGTTAGACTTGAACCGGCAGTGCTCGTCGGAGTTAAGGGCTAGTTCCTGTGAGGCCTGTAAGAGTGCGTGCGAGGCTTTCAAGTTTCAAGACTCACGAGTATTGTTGCAGCGACGTGTACGCCACTCACGATACCTGTAAACCGTCTGTGTTTATGCGGCGATGTTTAAAGAGTCTTGGCCAAGATCGTATAGCTACGCGTATGATGATGCTACATGCACGCTTACATGTACTGGAGCTGACTATATGATACATTCTGCCCTTCATCAACAGGGCAAGCACTGGCGACACAGCAATATTCAACTTTTGTATAAAAAGGGAGAAGCTCTGAAAAAGAAACCAAAAGAGAAAGAGCCTTTTTTGTGTAATGGTTGGTCCGAGAAGAAATGGATTATTTTTTATTTTTTAATCATCATCTCAGAATTTATAGTATAAGAAACGATTAAAATCATTTTTTAACTGGTGTCCAAAATCAGTCAGATCGAAAGTATAAGTAATCATTCGTATAATTTACCCAATTATAATTCAACCCAGTACACTTATTTTTGTTCCATTTTTATTCAAAAATAATAATTTAGAGACTTGTTGGTAAAAATAAATATTGTTCTCTCTATATATTTTAGATTTAAACAACTACATGTACAATATCAATAATTAAGAAATATTATAAAAATTACTATATTATATATATATATATATTGGTAAATAAATATTTATATATTTTAATTAATGAATCCCACTAAATCATGTGTAATCATATTTTACTAACCAAACATATATAATAATTTATAGTTCTTTAGAATTAGAAGAGCATAATTACATGTATATCTCTAAATACATAATAAATTATAATAAATTCGAATATGCATAATAAATTATACTAATTTCAAATTTTTATTGATCATTAATTCAATATAAATATTGTAGTTATTCTTTGAAGTCTCGAATTCGAGTATCATGAATGTTAAAGGTGTGAGCATTTAATATCAAATGATTGAAAGTTTTCTTAGAACAATTACTATCTTGTACTTATCCCAAATTCATAAAAAATAATTTAATACAAATATTATTTTATAAAAATTATATGACTAATATAGTAAAGAATATTATAAAGTTTGTGGGTGAATTTTTTTAGTGAAAAATCGAATCAGCTGACAAATATAGAAAATTGAATCAATCAAAAAATATATTAAAAATTAATCTCATATACTAATTTGACCATCTATCCATTTTTTTAATTACCACTTAATTGGCAACACTAATTCAATTATTTCCTTTAGGTTAAAGTTAGTTTATTAGTTTTGATATAATAATAAAAAATTATATCTAAGTAAAAATAATAAAATAATAAGATATTATTTATCTATAAATTTAAATAGTTTAAATTATAATAAGATAAATTTAAAATATAATTTAATATTTATTAAATTTTATCTATTTAATCTTTATATTTAGTTGTGATACAATAATACTGTAACACCCCTAACCCGTACCCGACCCGGATACGAGTCCGAGGTGTCACATTGACTTTTCAAACTTTGACTCATGACAAAATTCAAAGAAAATTTAAAAATTTCATTAAAGTAAAACCAGTTTAGTTACATAATTTGACCACAATAACCAAAATCGATCAGAGCATATTTAACTCAATCAATTAGTACATGCAAACTATATTCAACATAACAAAAATCATTTAACTCATCTATTTTCTGATCTGAAATCTTGTAAGGGAGATGCTGACCTGTATTGCTCCTCACAACTTCTATATTCACTTTCGGTAACCTGCGGGTGAAACACTCACACGCTAAGTCGATGACTTAGTGAGGCATAAAGAAAACACATCTAATGGAATTCATACCCACTAATCATGCATGACTGTTTTATGCTATCAAATTTTACAACTCATTTACATATACATCAACATATATTCATGTATATTATGTAACAGATACCAAAACCCCTATCACACATATATCATATCATGCAATTCATATCACACATCATATATATATATCACATACATTGTTCTTATATCACCAACCTGTTTATCCTTACTAATTCCCTTGTCATTACTTCAATTCCTTCATATGGGCATATAATGAATATAAACATATTATATATATTTTAATATGCTACAATACATTACTAATTTCTATAATCATATAATACATAAACGCATAGCATCTCATATCACCATGACATATATGCACTTCTACCATGTCACGAGAAATACACATATCATTATATCAAATTATGTTCTCTTTTCAAATCCCATGTACACATGTGAGAACTATAGATATGTGAGTCTATAGAGGTTGTGCACTATGCTGTCACCACAGCTCGTATAATTGCATCGAAGTGCCACGTAGAATTGCACCGGAGTACCGCGTAGAATTGCACCGTAGTGCCATATAATAATGTCCATAAGAACCATATATCATTCCTTAAGAATCATATACATATATTAGGGATCAAGTATGTGTCTCACCAGACTTCACACATGTTCCAAAGAATACATATATGTCCCGAAGAACCACATATCATTCCTTAAGAATCATATACATATGCCAAGGATCAAGTATGTGTCTCACCAGACTTCACACATGTTCCAAAGAATACATATATGTCCCGAAAGACCACATAGACCCTCGACTCTTGGCATGCCAACTATACCCCTTGCTCTCATGACACATAACATGGGCATTAATATTTATGTTAACATACATTCACATATACACATAGTCATGTAGTTCTTTCACATAGTTCATCGTCATATAAATCACATATCCCATATACATATAAACACATGGTTCACTTACGCGTAGAACATTTTCATATAATCGCATAGTCATATAATATTTCATATAACATATATTTTCTCTTTCATAAATCTCATATCATGTATCATATCTTGTGATCATATAATCATGTTACTTATAATCACATAACTTCTACTCATAAGGTTCAACATCATTAAACTTAATTCACTTTTTCATATTATCATACATTTATATACTGTTATATGTCCTATCAATAACCTATAAACTTACTCATATTCTCATATATACTATTTTAATATAATTTGTATAGTAATATTCTATAATTGTATCATATAATGATTTTACCCAAGTACTCATTTATAAAGTTTATATTACAGGTTCAATTAGTATCATTCTATCCTATAAATAATTTCACTTATTTTATATCATTTACCCTTTTCACTCACATAAACCATCTATTTATTTAGTTCAATTTCTCATGACTTCCACAATACTCTTTAATAAAACTTTGTAGCTCTTCACTTTAATACATAAATCATAGTTTCCTTTAATTTATCAATCTTCTCTATATAACTTATGTATCCTTATTTATGCCCTCGAATTCATACTATTCTCTTAGAGTCTCCTAACATTTCTCGTATAATCACTTATACCATATCATATGACTTATACTTGATTATCTTATTCTCTCATGTTCATTTCATTTCTTATGACTCTATCATATAACTTACTTAATGTTCTTCCATTATTACATAATAAAGTCTTACATAAATCATATAGCATATACAAAGCATATCATTATCTTTAGTCATGCATACATACAATCAATGTAATACATATAATCACATATAGTTATAACCAACACATAATCATGTCTATGACTTCATGCATATTACTTTAGGAAATAGACTCATCGCAAGTCTTATTTCCATTAAACACTACATGTCACTAGTATGCACTCACCTTGGCCTCACTAGTCAATTCCAATCTCTTATCTTTCCCTTGATCGATCTTATTTGCCAAATGTTCAGGAATTGCTTTACGCGCAGAATCTACATAAATGTACATTTGGAGGCAATCATTAGATACATACACCTTGTAATTGGATACTAGCAACTTAAACGAACTTATTAAACTCATATTCACAATTTTCCTTTAGGGGGGAAGCGGTTCCCTCCTGTGGGAGAATCGGTTCCCCTATGAGATTCTGGAATTTCTGGTTCGTTTGAGGGGGTATCGATTCCCCTTGAATGTGTACCGATTCCCCTAGCCCATAAATCATATTTTCAACACGAAATTTACTTCATTTCATATTAAACACTTCATATTTCAACCTCTTTCATATACTAAACTCAAACACACATACTTAAGCCCATTTGTACTCATTTAACCCATCTTAATTCTCAAAATCCTCTCCTCTCAATGAAATTCAATAATTATACTCAAATTTCAACATGTTCTAAATTCTTTTCTATCACTCCAAAT